CCAGATCTCAACAGAGCAAGTGATACACACCGGTAAGTTGGTAAGTTAACAAATATTCGTTCAGTGTATTCAGTAAGCACATGAAGGCCCTGAAAAAGCAACCAGTGATTGAGTAGCTGGGCTTGTATGCCTGGCTTTCCAAAATTTTTGCACCAGTATGAACTCATTTTTGAATCCATTTGCCCCATGAACCTTTTGAAGTACCCTCCCTCACAGTTTGGAACACACGGCTTGCCCCTACCAATCCTTTTGCCTAGACCGAATTCCTTAACTTAGGAAAAAAAGAAAGGATCAAGCTGGCGTTACTGAACTCCACTCCACGGTAATTGACTGGATGGAGGACACATGGTCAAAGTTAGGCCAATCAGAGTCTTTTTTTTTTTTTTTTCCCTCAGTGATCTGAGAATGGGACCCTTAAGGCAAACAGTCTCAGGTGAGTCTAGAATTGAAGGACTGGCAGAGACTGGGGCCGTGGAGCATTCCTACTGTGTGAGTGCAGACACAGAGCACAACTCTGCCATCAACGAGTGAAACAAACACCCTCTGTTGGGCAGAGAAACAACAGGAAGAACGTGCCACTATACTCCTCCAGAGAAACCCAGAGGCCTGCGGAGTCCGTGAGACACGCCTTACGTCAGGCCTAAGGCTCCCCCTCCTCTTGAGCCAGCTCAGCTTCTAGTCCTGGTTAACCAGAGTCTTCACCAAGACCTGCGCTATTCGCATACAGGAAGCAAGATGCATCAAGTTGAGCACAATAGTCTGCTGATGATGGTGCTAATCCCAGCCAGATTTGTCCAGGCAGGAAAACCCAGCCTGCTACAGCAAGGAGGGAACCAATCCTGAGGTCACCTTCCGCTTTAGATAGAAAAGGGGTAGGGCTGCAGTTGGAGCTAGACTTGACGTTAAGAATCTTGAATCATTCATCCAAGAGAAACTTGTGGATTTCAACATGACTGTAAAGGACAGTCATGTCTATGATATTTCTGAATACAGAACTGAAAGGAAAAAAAAAAACCAAGACCAGTCAAACCAAAAACAGACTCATATTTTGATTATTTGTGGCCTCAGGCTATTTTTAAAGAAACTGCCTTTGAATTTCCCAAGGGATTTCCACACTCCCCCCCGCCCCCCGCCTTTTCTATTCCTTTTCTTTTTTTTTTTTTTTCTGGCTCCTGGAAAATCCAGAGAATTTTGAAAAAGAAAATCTGTTGTGATTTATGGTCACAATGGGTCTATACAGACAGATTCTTTATAGCACACTGATGCTGATAACCCCCACCAGGCTGGAACACACCTCCAAGGGTCGTGGTAATTGAGAGGGATGCTAGGACACCGTCTACGCTCTGGTTCCTGAAGGTTTTGAGTACACAGTGCACTAGAGTAGGGGACCAGATTTCTAGTCAGGGTTAGAGCCACAACCCAGAGTTAGGAAACTATATATACTTATTATTTTCCCTGTGTGAGTCTGTGTCCTTGTCCTCTACAGCTGTACCAGTTACCAGATTTCCTTCCTGAATTCCAGGGGCATGCTCATTTATCAAGGCTGGAATTCCAAGTGATTGCATGAAAGAGTTCTGCTGTCCAAGGACCCTCATAAGAGGGTCTGCGACAATCAGTGACACCATGCAAGGACACATGCCTCCGTGTTGCGGATGGACATGCCTGATCAGGCATCAGATAAATGGCTTCTACTACCGCGTCTTTTGGCAGAGCGGGAGGGGTCTGCTCTGTGGCTGACATCAGTGAACAGCAGAGCTGAGCAGACAGCAACTCCTGCACCCTCATCCTGGTCCGGTGTTCTTAGAAACCGAGGACAAGAGAAGCCTGGCCAGCAGTTTGCTTCCCTGGGAAGATTGGGCCTCCCTGTGTGCTTTCAATTTAGGAAAAACCACCCTCCAACATATAGAAAAGTATTAGAGCCAACTGAGAGAGGAGAAGAAGAAAAAGACAGAGGAAGGAGGATTAGGAGGAGGAGTATAGCGCAGGTAGCCTGGACCAATCATGGCCTGTGCACTGGCATTTTCCTTCCAGGCCGTCCTGTTCTCTCTGTCAGAGGTCACCCCTCAGCAGTGACTGCACACACCAGCTACAGCAGTTATAGCTGCTGAAAACCTCTATGGCCAGGAGGGGGCCCCAAACAGCACTCCAACTTGCTGATTTCCTGGTAATCAGTGGCTTAGACCTCAAGCTAACAGTCACCCACCATTGTAGGTAGAACATTAAAAAGACCAGAAGCAAAGTTCCCCAGAGACCAGAGCCAGGTAGTGGGTCCACGGTCACAAGACTGACACCAAGCTGGGGTGTGTCCCGCTGCGAGACTTGGTGCTCCAACTTCTGCCACTCAACGGTAACAGCACCTACTGGGATTGGCTGAGATGCTGCTCGTTTTAGAAGACAAGTGTCAGTGAGTGCTTGGCCTTAGGGAGGTCTAGGCTGACTGGGGAGTGAGAGCTGGCAGGTGGCAGGCTACAGGCCACAGGATGGCAGAAATGAGGGTAGGCTGGGGCTGGGAAGGAGCAGGGTGGTATGGAAGGAAAGTCTGCACTCCTGACTCTCGAGATCCTCCCAGGGCTTTGTACTGGGTATGCAGCCACGGCCTACGTACAGGGAGGGAAGTCAGATTACACAGGAAACACATGAGGGTCTGGCCACTGTAGTGGGGCAATAAATGAATGGATGAGCCGTTGCCGTGGACTGTCTGGGGAGGAAGAGGGGATTAGGCATGCACTTTGCTTAGCACTCGGCAGTGCTCAGTGCTCTGTTGTGTGTTGTCATCCTTGGAGTGGTCTCAGAGACCCTACATGGCACAGCAGGTGGTACCCATGGCCCTGCCTTGGAGGGCTGTTCAGTCCTCCTTGCTGGGGAACCCAGGTGACTTGCAATGCTCATGTGAACGGAGGATTGCAGCCAAAGGACCCAGGAGCGTGACACGCTGCAAGCTTGTGGGTTGGACCATGTGACAAGCTTGCCCTCCTGCTCGTCAATGGGGAAACTGCTGCTCTGGGACTAACTGGCTGTGGGGTGTCAGGCAGCTTGCTCAGCTTGTTTCCTGCCTGTGTAAGAGAGAGGAGGAAAAAAGCAAGCCCTCCGGTTATCCTGGTCCAGACTGGTGTGATTAGTGGGCGGGGTGGGATTCCAGGTAGGAGGAAAGTCAGAAGGAAATCGCTGGGGGTGCCCTGGGTGACTGCTGTGATTCACAAGTTCTTCCTTCCCTCCAATTGCTAAACACCAACTCCCCTCCCCAGTGGTTTCTCCAGGTTAATTAGCTCCTCTGGGATGCTTTGGCAGCCACAGGGGAAGAGCAGCATGCCGTCACCCCCAGGCCATCCCAATTCAGCATCAAGAAGGCAGTGCCTTCCCAGGTTCTGGGGCTCCGCCTGAGGGCCTGTCTTGGGATTCCCAACCCTTTGCGGAACCAGCCCGCCCACCCAAGGTCAGCACATGCAGGGTGTTCCTCTCATCTCCACATCCTGTGTTGCCTGGACCCCAGCACACTGGAAACGCGTGGTGGTCCCCTGCACCTAGCAAGCCCTGTATGCATACAAAGTCTAGTACAATAAGATCACAAGAATCCCCTTCCCACTTCACATGTTTCTCATTGGTCCATGGTCACAAAGCTTTATTGTAATTGTGAAACAATTGGATTAGTTAGGAAAATATTACTCCCTGAAATATTTGAAAGCAGAATGGGAAAAATGTGGAACTAGACGTGGGGGTTGATGGGGAGGCGGGGAGAGCTACATTGAATTAAATAATAACTCTGCCCCAAGTGCCAAGATGCACAAGTGGCTTGCAAAGCCCACTTTCCAGGCCACACAGGGAAGAGTAGAGACAGAAGGCTGGAGCCTGGAGCCCCGTGGATTTTCCCACCATTGTATGCTGCCTTCCCTGCTGCCCAGGTCTCCGGGGAGTCCTGGCTGTCTTAGGGCATTGGCGTGCAGGAGTCTGTGGAACTCTGTCCTTGGTACATGATGTCACAGTAGTTACACAGGCCCGGATCGATGGACTCCCCCGGCGGAGGATCGATCCTCTTTCCTAGGGGAGCTGGCCTTCTGTGGCTAGCGGGGGAAGGGAGGAGGGGGAGGGGGGTTGGGGGCAGGTTGCTCCTTGCAAACCGGCTGCCCTCCTACAGCCGGCTATCAGTTATTTTCCTCCTGGGATAGGAGTGGTAGGGGGAGCTTAGAGTTGGGACCAAAAGGCACAAACCCGGAACGCTGGGGGGCATGGAGAGGGTTCTCTGGGTTCACTCCCCGCGCCCCACCGCCCTTCCAAGCCACCCGGAGGGGTGTGTGCCTGTGTGTGCTGGGAGAACACGCCCAGCACCGCGCCAGGCCGCGGGCCGCCCTCGGTGCCCGGGTTGGGGGGGCGCGCCGGCCCACCCCCACCGCTCGGGACGCGGCTGCAGCCCCCTTCCCGGCGCCGCGAGCCCCTCCCCCGGCCGCCGGGAGCCCCTCCCCGCGCGCTCCGCTCCCTCCCCTCCCTTCCCCCGGCTGCCGTCCGGCCCTGCCTCCTCCTCCGCCTCCTGCGCGCACAGCCTCCGCCAGCGCCGAGCCCCCCGGAGCCCGAGCGCGGCTCAGGGGCGCCGCCGGCCCCTCCCCAGCGCGCTGACAGCAGGCTCCGGGGCCCCCGCCCCGTGCCCTCGCCAGCGGGACACACCCCCGCCCCTCCTCTGCTGCGCCAGTTCCCGCCGGACCCCACCGGGCGCCGGAGAGAAGCGGCGGGCGATCCGAGCGCGGCGGCGGCGGCGCGGGAGGCAAGGCGGGCGCGGGGCGGGCTCGCGGGAAGTCGCCCGGCGCACGGAGCCCCCGTGCCCTCCGGGATCGTCTCCTGCCCCGAGGTCCGAATTGTGCGCGTCGGGAACCTCGGGCAGCGATCAGCGCGCAAGGCCGAGGTGGCGGGTGGCCCCAGGACCTGGGCAGCGGGAGAAGGAAAGCCGGAGCCCGGCCGGGATGAGAAGGTGACGCCGCCGGGGGGCGCCACTCGCTGTGCTGGGGGAAAAGATGCTCGCCTACTGCGTGCAGGACGCCACCGTGGTGGACGTGGAGAAGCGGAGGAACCCCTCCAAGCACTATGTGAGTACTGCCCTGGCGGGCCCTGCGAGAGGCCGGCTGGGGGTCCCGGGAGGGCCCGGGTGGTTCTCGCTGCCCGCGCTGTGCACCCGCAGAGCTCAGAGCCCACGGGCGGCCCGGGTTTGGAGTTTCTCCACCGGGCTGTGATTTCCAGGGAAGTCTTTTCTGCTCCTTCTGCACTCCCCCCCCCCCACCCCCCCCCCCCCCCCGCATCCCGCTGCCCCGTTTCTTTTTTTGGCATTGGAATTGGCAAGTGGCTGCCCTTGTCTGTCACAACGGTGAGGTCATATGTCCGCCTGAGCTTTGATGGGTGGGTGGGTGGGTGGGGGAGCTCTTGTCAGCCCCTCGCCGGGCAGCCCCCTGGGGTCGAGGAGCCTCGGGGATTCACTGCACGCAGGCCTAGCTGATCCTTCTCCCGCCCCCCGCCCCCAGGCTTGGCGGGGAGAAGGAGTCTGGCGCGCTGTCCCCCTGCTCCTGTAGGGCTCCCTGACCTCCCCTTGGTTCCCCAGGTCAGGGTAAGGGGCGGAGGCGAAAGGAGGCTGCCGCGCCCCCTGCTCCACCTCCATCCTGGGCACTGAGCCCCTGATTTCCTTCTTAAAGCCATTGTGTCCGCCGGTGTGAGGAGAATTGTGGCTTTTCCTTTTATCCCTCCTCTGGACGTGACCCTTAACCGGGTTCATTTCCTCTTAAGTGATGCGCTGTCTCCAGACACCGGGAGGCAACTGCTGGCTGTGGTCCCGCAGGAACGGCCGGCCGCCCCTCCCCCTTCCTGCCCCAGATTTAATGAGGAGAGTGAAGGTTGGCCCGGCCTGCGCTCCAGGGTCTGGGCCATAGCCCCCTTTCATCTCAGCTGGCCCTGTCTTCCCATCTTTCACACCTTGCCACGTAAATACGTTGTCCTTGACACCCGAGTCCACCTGTCTAAGCGGCGTCTGGGCTCCTGAAGTTGAGAGGAAAGGGACTCACAAGGACAGAGGATCGGCAGCCTGCATCTTATTTGCAAATGAGCATTTCAGATGCTCAAAGCATTAATTTCAGCAATTAAAACAAGCTGTCAGTGGCTGCCCTAGATTGTGTGTTGGTCTCCAAAGTGCCTTTTATTTCCCTGTTGGAGGGGAACTGGAGTTGGTGGTGAGACCGGCCTCAGGCTACTCATGCTGCCTTCTTCAGCAGCAGCTTTGAGTGCTGGGTTTCCTTCCAGCTGAGCAAGCAGGGTAAGGCCCAGGTTAGGGAATGAGGTCAAAGTGGAGGTTGGTTGCTGACCAGACAGGGAAGAGGTACAACCCAGGGTGGGGTGGGGGTAGGGGAAGTTGTCCCTGGCACTGATCTTCCACTACAGTTAGAAGAAAGCTGTTTTTTGGAGGGCCTGGCCACCCCATGTGGAGGGATCGGATGTCCGTAAGCAGCATCTCAGGATTTATTATCAAGTCAGCCTTCCTAATCCCATGTCTCAAATGTTGCAGGCTAATTTTGAATGGCTCTCTTTGCTATCCCTCCATTGTGCTTGGCAGCCTGGCCTTGCTTTCACCAGATGGCACTCTCTGCCCTGAAACCCAGGCAGGTTCTGGGTTTTAGACCAAAACATGGACTCTTAGCTTGAACCAATGAGGCCCAGGGTCATGGATGCAGGGCCCACTGGCAACAAACCAGCAGGAGGCTGGCACAGGAGTCGGGGACCCGCTCACTGCTGGTAGTGCCTCAAAGGCAGCTAGTTCTTGGGACTCAGGTAAACTGGTTCAAAGTTCGACTCGGCCGCCAATTAGCTGTACCACCTTGGGCCAGGTCTTCAACCTCCTCGGGTCTTCAAGTGAGGGTAATAATAATGCATTCTCCCTAGGGCAGTGGGGAGAATTAAATGAGATCATCTATGTGCAGCACTTAGCCCACCCAGTTCCTGGCACAGAACAGGCACTCATTACATGACTGCTTATTACTGGTACGATTCTGACTAAGAAAGTCCTTTTTTGAAAAGCAGCTATTAATGGTCTGGCTAAGAGGAAGAAAGATTCCTGGTGCAGAGATGGAGAATAACTTGTTCTGTACGGAAAAGACAAAAGAAGTGCTGTCCAGTTCCCTTGAAGCAATCATTTCCTCTCTTGCTAACAGACAGAGTACTTCCCGGGCCATCTCGGCTTCCCCTGTTAAGAAAAGATGACTTTATGTTTGGGGAAGGGAGTGATGTCAGTGACCAGATGGGACTAGACCGAGCTCTGAGCTAAGATTCTAGAAAACAATGAGAGGAGGAAGGGCTGTATGTTGTGGGATCATGGAGCTGGCAGGAATGTAAGGATTTATTTGCCCTCCCTGCTTCGCCCACCAGTTCCCCAGTTTACAGATGAGAAAATAGAACCAGATACCCAGCAGGTCACAGCACCTGGGGCTGTCTGGCTTCTTGCCTAAGGTGTGGGTTTCACTCTTTCAGCATATACTAGGTCTGTTTGGGGTTGACCAGGAAGACAAGTACCGAGTAGTGGAGAGGTTCCTACACATTTAGGGCATGAATGGATAACCTAGGGTGTCTGACAGCAGGAAGAGTGTGATGGGTCCAAGAAGGGCAGGAGGAGCCAGCTAGGGGAGCCTGTGGCCTCCAAGGCTTTAGAGTGCCCTCTGTTGTGGCCTTTTCACAGTGAATAACCCATGCCTTCAGGTCAAGTGCTGTGGGGAAGGCACTCTGGCATGGTTAGCTGGTAGAGCTAGTGGCGTCCAGATCCACGGATGCTCTGGTGCTGCAGAAGCAGGCCTGCTCCCAGCCTCTCCTTCCATCACTGGGGAGTTTGGAGTCTGTGGTTTGGTTAAATTGCAGAGCAGAGAGGTTTTATTGGATATGCACATTAGCTGGAGCTAGCTGATGAGAGGCCTGGGGCCTAGCTCCGCGATGCTGGGGACACACTGCAGAGGTCCTCTTGGGACATGCAGTGAAGGACACACTCCTCCCCACCCGAAGGGGCAGCCACTCCCACCCCGAGTGTCTTAAGACAGGTAGCTTGAGTAACCTCCATCATTGGATTAGTAGAGCCAGCCCCCTTGAGCTTCCTTCCTTCTTTGGACTGGCTGGGGTCAGGAGGGCAGCTGTTCCATATCAGCCCCTTGGCATGGTGCTGGGCTCCTCTCCCAGTTTGTCTGAGCTGCCGAGGAGACAGTGGGTAAACTGTCTGTGGCCTCAGACCACTTGCCTTTAAAGTGGTCCCAATGATACTGGATGCAGGCTGCGGCTTCCTTCCCTTGAAGGTTTTCCAAGAAGGAATCCGAGTTTGGTGCTGCATAATTCTTTGTACTCCCATGTACGTGTTGGTATTGGTCAAGGCGTATGGCAGAGAGAGAAGCTCATTAATCTAAAGCAAACAAGAAATTATGTCTGTTTGGGTTTGGGAGGTGTTGTGCTTTCACAGTCGTTTCCTCTCCTGATTGTTTATTTCAGACGGATACCAGTCGTGAATGCTCTGATCCTGCACAGGACTTGTTAGAGAACACAACTAGTAGCTAGGATGTTACCATCCATGGAGCCAAGCCCTGGCCATACATGTGTTGATGGGATTCCAGCATGGGGGCAGGTTATTTGATTTTTTTTTTTGGCACATGGGCTAACTTGGTCCTGGCGAGGGGAACTAGCTCACAGCACAAGGCAGGCTTGGGTCAATGTAGGTCAGTTCACCTCCCAGGGAGGCCATGGCTAAGATGGGATGCCCTTTCCTTGGGTGGGGAGGCCAGGCTCAGGCCCATGTGACAGTGAAGGAGCAATGTAGAGTGGTGTTAAATGTAGGATCCACCCTATGGCGATAACTCATTCTCCTGTGTTTAGATTATCACAGATTTTGGTCTTGGCCCTGGCAGCTACATTTTTGGGAATTGGCCTCAAACTCATTCGTCTCTAGGCCCTTCTTCACCCCCACCCCCAACTCCACACCCAAGCCCCTAGACCTTAACCACAGCCTCCCAGGAGTTAGGTTGTACAGAGCCAATTCTGGTATAAGGTGTGTGGTGCTGGGCACCCCAGGGCTTGGGTCCCACCTCAGGCACTCCCTTGCCCCATACCTTTGGGCTGATTGCCCTGCACCTCACTGTCCTCATCTGTACCCTCAAGAGGCTATTTTGGGGAAATATTTGAGATTATTTGAAGTGATGCTTCTGCCCTGTACCTATCCCCCAATCTAGTCATCACTGTTTGAAAAAATATTTCAAAAAGTTGATAAGAAAGTGGTACTAAAATGTTTCTTTTTGATACAAAAAAATTGGAATCCATGCATAGCTTGTGCTTAATAGGAATTTCTCATGGTTGTTTAGATCTTAAAATTTATTTTTAGTTTTTTTTAGAAAGATGTAGAATGATAGAGACAGAGACAGGTGGAGATAGAATTTCATCCACTGGTTGCAGAAGGTTAGGTTGGGCCAAGAGGAACTTGGGAGCCAGAAACTCAGTCCAGATCTCCCACACAGGTATCCGGAAACCAGTTACTTGAACCTTCACTGCTGCTGCCTAGGGTGTGCACCAGCAGGATGTGGAGATGGAGAGTGGAGCTAGGTTGCGGACCCAGGCATCCCAAGCAACATCTTAACTGCGAGGCCAGATGCTCTGCCCCTCTGTGACCCTTTTGAAGACCTGTTGTATGCTAGTTTCCATCTAGTATTCCTTGTCACCAAAGCACCGAAATACATTTAGCATGCCCTAGGTGACACTGAGAAGAAAGGGAAGACGAAGGCAGAAAGGAAGCCCAGCTGTTCCTAGTCTGATGGGAAACTGGGCCCCATGCCCCATGGACAACACCCAACACACACGAGGAACAGATAAACACAGAGCAGCTGTTCAGGCCTGGAGTGGATTCTGGACCTGAGCTGGGGGACCTAATGAGGGTGTTCCAGGGAGCTAAGCAGGAGAAGGCAAAAAAAGTGGTTGGGAGAGGAGAGACAGGTCTTCCAGGGACAGGCAAGGTCAGAGAAGATCTTATCTCCAAGGTCAGGGCTCCACTCGAGTTAGCCCTGTTCCCTACTTTTCCTCTGTAATATTC